GGTTCTCAACCTGTGGGTCGCAACCCCTTTGGGGGTCAAACAACCCTTTCACAGGGGTAGCTTAAGACCATCGGAAAACACATATATAATTACATATTGTTTTTGTGATTAATCACTATGCTTTAATTATGTTCAATTTGTAACAATGAAATTGGGGGTCACCACAACATGAGGAACGGTATTAAAGGGTCGCGGCATTAGGAAGGTTGAGAACCATTGCCTTCAATGGGACAGTGAGAAACACCTAGCACAGGGGCCCTGGCGGGGACGGGGTCAGACTCTGAGGGGCTCAGAACTCCACAACGGGGCAATAACTGCACCCCTCTACTAAAACCATTGAGCTGCACTCTGTACAGGAGTGAGCTGTATGGTATGTACAGTGTAGCTCAACAAAACCATTGAAAAGAAAAGGAAAACTCTAGAGAGAGGGGTCAGGAAGCGACCCTCCAGCTGATCAGGGAACCTGGCCCAAACATTGACCCCTCAGTCATTCATTCAACAAATTTTCTCTATATCTGCTTTGTAATAAGTGAGTGTTTGGAACACAAACTTTAAATCAATCTTGGGGGTAAGAGCTGGGAGGGCTCTTGGTGGGGGAGATATCTGAGCTGAAATCTGAACGGTGTGCGAAAATGAGCCAGATGAAGTCGTGGAGGAGGGTGTTCCAGGTGGAGGGAACAGCATCTGCAAAGGCCCAGAGGTAAGGAAGGCAGATATCTTTAAATATCTTTTTTTTTTCTTTTGGCATGTCAGTGCCTGTGTTGGACAATGCTGGTGACATTTTTGGTGCATCACTAATCCCTGGTCCCTGCCTTCATGAAGCTTCAGTAGTGACATAGACACATCACCAGACATGACCATCTGTGCTCAGGCGGGGAAGGCACAAGCAGAGCGTCAGGGCGGGATGGGGACGATCAGAGGAGGCACCTGACCCAGTCTGAGAGAACATCAGGGAAGGCTTCCTGGAGGAAGAGATAGAGTTCCAAACAGTTTCTGGGGTTTTAGATCCCTTTGAAAATCTGTGGGAAGCTCTGGACATTCACAGAAGAAAATACACAAACATTGTAAGCAAATTCCCAAGGCGGGCATCCCATGACCCCCTTGCTGTATAAATGTCCCAGGGATGGGGACAGGGTGGCTAACAGTGCAGGAAAACTTTGAGGCGGAACTTAAGCATCCTGGGAGTGGGCTGGGGAGAGGTTTTGAGAACCCCAACATCCCTCTCACCCCCACCGGACCTGGTGGCTGTGCCAAGGATCTGGCCTTCATCATGCCCCCCCCCACACACACATCTCCAACCCCCGTGAGGTAGGGCCTTTGGATTGCCCAGAGGGAAACAGTCCAGGAAGTCACCGCGCTTGCAGCACATGCGCCACAGCTCCCCTGCCCGTCATCTCAAACCGCCCGCAAGCCCCAGTGGCCGATGCTCAAGCCCCAGTGGCCGATGCTCAATCATCAGCGAGCACCTTCCAGCCTTTGGTCTCCAGACTAAGGTCCTCACCGTAGTTGTCGTTGCCATCACATATCACCATCATCATCGCCCAATAGCGCTTCCTATGTACCAGGCATGTATATATATCTCACCTCATTTATCCCATCAGCCCTATGAAATGGGCATTGTTATCATCTCCATTTTCCTCATTTGAAGCACAAAGAGGTTAGGAGACTTACCCAAGATCATACAGCTACTAAGTGGCAGAGTCTGGCTTTGGAGTCCTTTTCTGAACCATTCCAAAATAATCATGAGCCCTGGCTGGGTTGGCTCCGTGGACAGAGCTTTGGCCTGCAGACTGAAGGGTCCCAGGTTTGATTCCAGTCAAGGGCACATGCCCGGGTTGTAGCTTGATCCCCAGTAGAGGATGTGCAGGAGGCTGCCAATCAATGATTCTCTCTCATCATTGATGTTTCTACCTCTTCCTCTCCCTTCCTCTCTTAAATCAATAAAAATGTATTCAAAAATAATCATGAAGTGAAGTAATACAACAGCTGGGGATTGCTACAAAATAGCCCCACAGCACAGCTGGGTCATAGTGGAAAGAACTTGGGACCCTGCCAACCTGGTCATTCACACCTGGAGTATATGTGAGAGTAAACTCCTTTTTTAGTTTAGTTGTCATATTTTGAAGTCTCTTTGTTTTTATTTTTATTGATTTCAGAGAGGAAGGGAGAGGGAGAGAGAGATAGAAACCTCCATGAGAATCACTGATCGGCTGCCTCCTGCATGCCCCCTACTGGGGATCGAGCCTGGAATCCGGGCATGTGCCCTAGACTGGGATGGAACTTGGAACCCTTCAGCCCGCAGGCTGATGCTCAAACCAGCTAGGGCTAAAGTCTCTCTGTTATAGCGACTTAGCTTATATCCTACAACGAGGCCATCAGAGTCACCTGGAGGGCTTGTGAAATGACAGGTTGCTGGGCCCCACTCCTGGAGAAGGGCTGGAGAACTTGTATTTGAAATAAGTTCCCAGGGGTTGCTGCTGTTGCTGCTGATCTGGGGACCACACTTTGAGAACCACTTCCTAAATGATGCAGGCCCTTACCATGTGCTGTTTGTCTGCCCAGCACCCGTGCTTTCGCTTTGGGAAAAGGGTCTCCTTCACTACGAGTCCAGGGGGTTGTCCCCACTGGAAGACTCCAGTGAGTCCCTTCCCTGTGCCTTTGCTGTTGGTTCAGGGATGGCCATTTCCCAGAAGCCGGACCTATGAGAGCCAGCTCCGGGCTGTTGCCGGACTGGTGGGACGGACTTCCGAGGCTTGCTGTATTGGAGGGAAAGTTATGCTGTAAATTAGAACATTATTGGATCCATGACAAAACTGGTATACAATAGTAGATTAGAAAAACTCTGTGCATTGTTAAATTTATTAAAGTTAGTCATTGTACTGTGGTTATATAGGAGAATATCCCCATTCTTAAGAATACACATCAAGCCCTAGCCGGTTTGGCTCAGTGGATAGAGCGTCGGCCTGCAAACTGAAAGGTCCCAGGTTCGATTCTGGTCAAGGGCACATGCCTGGGTTGTGGGCTAGATCCCCAGTGGGAGGCTTGCAAGAGGCAGCTGATCAATGATTCTCTCTCATCATTGATGTTTCTAGCTCCTCTCCCTCTTCCTTCTTCTCTGAAATCAAAAGTATATTTTTTAAAAAAAGAATACACATCATAGTATTTAGGAGTAAAAGGCCATGGTGTATGTAACTTAGCCTCAAATGATACAGGAAAAAACAAGGGGAAGAGGGAGAAAATAAAAAAGTAAATGGAGTAAAACTGTTCATAGAATTTGAGTAAAAAGTGTATGTGTTCTTTGTTCTATCTTAGTTTTGCTTTTGTCTGTGTGTATATTTCAAATTATCTCCAAATAAATAGCTTTTTTTTTTTAAAGAAATGAGAACTGTAAAAGTCTGGAAAACAATCTCAATATAAGTAGAACTGGGGAGATAAAGATAAGATAAAGTGCTCTGGCCTGGCCGGTGTGGCTCAGTGCTTGAGTATGAACCCATGAACCAAGAGGTCCCTGGTTCGATTCCCAGTCAGGGCACATGCGGGAGTTGCAGGCTTGATCCCTAGTGGGGGGCGTGCAGGAGGCAGCAGATCCATATTTCTCTCTCATTGATGTTTCTACCTCTCTATCCCTCTCCCTTCCTCTCTTGCTAAAATCAATAAAAACATATTTAAAAAAAGATCAAGTACTCTATAACCCAGGTAGTGTTCGATATGATGATTCAACTACGGGTTAAACTTAACACCTGACTTTTAAAAGAAAGTGTGTTAAAATTTCAAGGATTACTACTAAAAGAATAGAAACGATGCATAGATCGCAAACTAGTAGAAGGAAGAGAGCGAGAAAGAAATCACAAGACAAAACAAAACTAAAAAATGTAGCCACTTCAGAGCAGTTGCAATGAGAGGGAGAAACGCATAGAGAAATGGGCACAATAGAATCACAAAGTAGGAAAATAAAAGTAAACTCAGTGTATCACTGAGCACATACAGAAACGATGCCTTCTGAGGCTAAACACTCCTGGCTCCCGCCCTGCCTCCCTCCATGGCTCCCACCCTGCCTCCCACCCTGCCTCCCCTCCCGCACTTGCCCCCAGGAGCTCTCCTCTCCTACAGCTAGAGGGACTCAGACTTCCCAGTTCAGATCCTGTCCCTCCCCTGCTCAGAACCTTCCCGGGGCTCCATCTGACTCAAAGGGAAAGCCAGAGTCCCCACTGTGGCCTGTGCCCCTCTCACCTCATCGCCCCCATTCCCCACCTGGCTTGCTCCTCTCCAGCTACATGAACCTCCTTGCACCAGACACGTTCCCCCCTCAGGACCTCCGCACTGGCTGTTCCCCCTTTCCGGCCGGCTCACCCCTCACCAGCGGAGAATGGGTAAGTGAATTGGGCATATCACACCGTGGGATCATGCACCACCATGAGAATAGCCTAAAGCTACACACAGTAGCAGGAATGAGTCTTAAGCTGTGTTGAGTGGAAAAGGCCAGTCACTAAAGAGAATATATTTTCTGATTCTATTTATACAAAATTCAAGACAGGAAAAAGCAATCTGTGCAGCCGGAAGTCAGAATGATGGTGAACTTGAGGGGAGGGGACTGCCAGGGGGGCTAGGAATGTTTCTTGGTCTGGGAGTTGGGAGCGCAGGTGTGTTCAGGTGGTGAAAATTCACCTCACTCTGCATGTGTGGTTTGAACTGGTTTGCATGTGCATCTACTTCAAGAATCAGTTTAGAAGAAAACAAAAACCAAAGAAATGAAACTCCATGTTCCCAGCA